CGGACGACGACAGATGGTATCTCGACACCGGCGCTAGCAATCACATGACGGGGCGCCGCGACATGCTCTCGGAGGTCGACGAGACGGTACGAGGTACTGTACGTTTTGGTGACGGCTCTGTCGTGCAGATTTGCGGACGTGGAGTGGTGATGTTCTCCTGTAAGAACGGCGAGCACCGCGCACTCTCGGACGTCTACTACATCCCCCAACTGCGGACGAGCATCGTGAGCCTCGGACAGCTTGACGAGCACGGGTGCAAGTCCGTGATCGAGGGCGGTGTGCTCTGTCTCTACGACAGGCAGTGCGTGCTTCTGGCACGGGTGCAGCGGACGAGCAACCGGCTCTACGCCGTGGCTCTGAACTTGGCTGCGCCCGTGTGCCTCCTGGCGCACGGCGGCGACGAAGCGTGGCGTTGGCATGGACGTTTCGGCCACCTCCACTTCCGGGCACTGCACGATCTTGGTGCGAAGGGGATGGTGCGTGGCATGCCGGCGATTCAGCATGTCGAACAGTTCTGCGAGGGCTGCACACTCAGGAAGATGCACCGTACGCCATTCCCACGCACGTCACCGTACCGCGCGGAGCAGGGGCTTGATCTCGTCCACGGCGACCTCTGCGGGCCCATCACACCGGCGACCACGTCCGGTAACAAGTACTTTCTGCTCATCGTTGATGATCACAGTAGATACATGTGGTTGGAAGTGCTCAGGAGCAAGGATGAGGCGTTCAAATTCTTCAGAAAGATCAAGGCGGCTGCGGAGACACAGTGCGGTGCAAAGCTCAGAGCGTTCCGCACCGACCGCGGCGGGGAGTTCAACTCGAGCGAGTTCACCGCGTACTGCGAAGAGCACGGCATCCTAAGGAACACGACGACTCCGTACTCTCCTCAACAAAACGGAGTCGTCGAACGCCGCAACCAGTCCGTGGTCGAGATGGCTCGCAACCTGATGAAAAGCATGGGCGTGCCGAGCACGTTTTGGGGCGAGGCAGTGCGCACGACGGTGCACATCCTCAACCGCTCACCGACGAGGAGTCTGCAGGGCATGACACCCTATGAGGCGTGGCGCAAGAAGAAGCCGACGGTCGATTACTTCCGCACTTTTGGCTGCGTCGCGCACGTCAAGCTCGTCGGCCTTGGCGTGACCAAGCTGGCGGACAGGACACGGCCGGGCATATTTCTGGGCTATGAGGCGGGCACAAAGGGCTATCGGGTGTACGACCCGATTGGCAAGCGCTTGTACATCACACGCGATGTGCGTTTCGAGGAGGATCGGCGCTGGGACTGGAGCAAGGATGGTAGCGACTCGGAGCGGCCAACCAGTTCACGGTCGTGTACTCCGACACGGGCGTGCCCACAACCACGACCTACTCCGTGTCACCAGCCCCGGTGATGCCACCTGGCGCATTGACAACACCAACTGCGCCAGGCTCACCGCTTGCTCCAAGCACGCCGCGGACGCCCACGTCTAGCGGTTCCGCCGCGGACACGCCGAGCGCGTCGAGCACGCAGGCATGGGCGGACTCAAGCCCGTCCACACCAGTTACTCCTTACAACTCTGATGACGGGTGGGTGACGCCGCCCACCGGCGAGGATTTCGACGCCGAGGGGGTGCCAGTCCGCTGGAAATCCATGGAGTACATCATCGACCACGCTCCGGCATGCACTCTGGAGTACAGTGGGCTCTGTCTCTCCGCAGCAGAGGAACCTGCGTTTGTCGAAGATGCACTGGATGAGCCTGCCTGGCGCAGCGCAATGGAGGCGGAGATGGACTCGATCCGCTCCAACGGCACCTGGTCTCTTGCCTCCCTGCCCGCCGGACATCGCGCCATTGGACTAAAGTGGGTGTTCAAGGTGAAGCGCGACCCAGATGGAAACAATGTGAAACACAAAGCTCGTCTGGTGGCAAAGGGATATGCACAGAGGCAGGGGGTGGACTTTGACGAAGTGTTCGCTCCCGTAGCTCGTCTGGAAACAGTGAGACTGTTGCTTGCAGTAGCAGCGCAACGGCGATGGTCAGTGCATCACATGGATGTGCGATCTGCCTTTCTGAATGGAGAACTGCAGGAAGAAGTATATGTGCATCAGCCTGCAGGTTTCATCGACAGCTGCAATCCCAACAAGGTTCTGAAGCTGCAGAAGGCTCTGTATGGGCTCCATCAGGCACCCCGAGCATGGAATACCAAGCTGGACACTACGCTGGTTTCACTTGGTTTTGAGAAGTGTCAGTTGGATCATGCCCTATACAAGCGTGGCAGAGGAACAGATCATCTGCTAGTTGGGGTGTACGTTGACGATCTGATCATCTCTGGGTCGTCTAAAGATGCTATCAAGCAGTTCAAGCAGCAGATGCATGACATGTTTCAGATGAGCGATCTTGGTCTCCTGACTTACTATCTGGGTTTAGAAGTGAAGCAGGACAAGGAGGGAATCAATGTTTGCCAGTCCAGCTATGCTAAGAAGATCCTGGAAGATGCTGGTATGGATCAGTGCAATGCCAGTCATACACCACTGGAAAATCGTCTGAAATTGAGGAAGAACCAGGGAGGAGCAGTGGATGCATCTGAATATCGAAGCCTCATTGGGAGCCTGCGGTACTTGGTAAACACACGACCGGATATTGCATATGCAGTGTGGCTTCTAAGCCGTTTCATGGAAGCACCAGGAAAGGAGCATTGGATTGCAATCAAGCAAGTTCTGAGGTACATCAAGGGCACCCTGAATCTTGGGTGTATCTACAGAGCAGAAGGGGAAACTGTTCTCGCTGGTTTCAGTGACAGTGACCACGCAGGAGATCTTGATGACAGGAAAAGTACCACGGGTACTGTGTTCTTCCTCGGATCGGGTGCTATTACTTGGTCCTCCCAGGAGCAGAAGGTGGTTGCAAAATCTTCATGCGAGGCCGAGTACATAGCAGCAGCAACAGCAGCAAGTCAGGCTGTGTGGCTGAGCAGGTTGCTTGCTGAAATGCTGGGTACAACAGTTCAGAAGGTCAAGCTGCGTGTTGACAACAGATCTGCAATTGAATTGAGCAAAAATCCGGTGCATCATGAGAGGAGTAAACACATTGATCTCAGGTATCACTATATCAGAGAGTGTGTTGAGCTGGGGCGAGTGGATGTCGTCCATGTCAGAACCGGAGACCAAGTTGCAGACATTTTCACAAAATCCCTTGGAAGGAGCCGGTTCTCTGAGCTACGGCACAAGTTAGGGGTGATCCAGTGTGTGGCAGATTAGGGGGTGATTTGTTAGATAATCTGCTCACACACACATTCAGGTTTCAGGTTACAGCGTTCTGAATAAACACAGACCGTCAGTGTGTGTATGTGCACGTACGGTTTCAGAAGTTTCAGTTAGGCTTTATTTCTGTCAGTAGTTTTCAGTTAGTCTGTTAGCTGATTTTGCTCGCCTTACCAGGTCATGGGATGGCATGATCGTCGTGGTTCGTGCGGGCAAAGTAGTCGCCCGATCCTAGCTAGGCGTCGTGGGATGGCACGACCAGTAGGCCAGCTAGAGACGTGGTCTTTTCCCTTGTAATTCGGCAGCCGTTGGAGCTAGCCTGATAATAACAGAAAAGCAGAGAAAAGCTGCAGTTAAGTGCGCAGCACAAAATACCTCTGTCAGACTCGTTCCTCTTCCTCCTCGCGATCCGATCTTCCTCCTCATCTCTCTCGCGCTCGGCAGGCCAGTTTCTGCAACAACATTCTGGACCCCATTGACACCATAGTTTGGTGCAACTTCCTCAGCCTCCTTCTTGATTACCATGCCGCCGGTGTTGTTGCCTTAGGTGACAGCTCCCGGTCCGCCTTATGGTTTGACCGTTGTGCTCCAGTGGGTGGTATGCTCACGGAGAACCTCCCCGCTCTGTCCTCCAATGCCACAATGCTGTAAGCCTCAGTCGCCCTAGTGTTCTGCCGGCTCCGGACATTTCTTCAGCCTCGCCTTTCGGCAGCTGCACGTCAAGAGCTGGTGCAATTAAATAAAAAACTTAGTAATGGCATCTTCCAACTAGCAAGCCTGGTCGTTACCTACTCGCAAGGGTCCTTTCTCAGCTTGAGGAGCCTACATGTGTGCCATGGCCCACCTATAGAACATCGACTTTACGCCTATGGATTGGAGCTCCAACACATCAGACCATTGTAAGCAGCTTCTTTGCATCCGCCACTGCAGCACGCTCTCCTACAACTCGCTGCTCCACCATCACCAGAAGCCTGCATCGCCTACACCTTTTACGTGGCCCAAGAAACAATTGAGCACTTGCTCTTCATGTGCGTATGCCCGAGTTGTCTCGATAGGGTGCTTCAGGGCATCTCTCAACTTGCCTCCTACATGCAAGATCTCTGGGAGAGGCACTGTGCCCCAATGCCATTTCTACACTTCTGCATCCCTGGTGGCCACCTATGTGCCATGAGGCATCTGGAAAAGCCAGAATGCAAAAGTTTTTTGCTTGCAATGACTCCGACCAGAAAACATTGCCCATAATACCACCGTGACCTCTGATGCCCCCCTGCAAAACTTCTTAGCATCCTAGTTTGTAGAAACATCGGTGGAAGTCCCAATACTTTATTTAGTAAATTAAATTTTCAATAAAAGTCCCATCACATGTCAAGAGATTATTATCATACAAATATATCATAATTTGGAGAAACACGTTTTATAGACTATGATGCATAATTTTGTAGATTATGGGCATATTAGTATTTTCAAATATCATGCATAATTTTGGGAAAGAAGAAAACTCATGATGGAGCATTGTTACTTTGATAATGGGAACTCTCGATGGAGCATTGCTACTTTGATCGTAACAGTTAGACTACAAGCTTGTTGCTACTTTGATAGTAGCAATAGGACTACACGCTCATTGCTACCGTGGTAGTAGAAACCCTAGTTCATTATGATTGAGATTGACTTTGATATTATACCATGCATGATATCAATACTTGTGCAAGAGAGCAAGGTTTTCTTTGACCTAATCTTATTTATGATTAACTATATCCTTCAGGGTTCCATGTGTCGCAGCGACATAGGTGAGTTAAATTGGCATTTAAGGTGTCGTGGTGTGATCTCCGTGTTGACGAGTTGTCTTGGAACTCCAAATTATATTTGTCAAGTGTTCGAGGCCATAATGCTTAAGCGTGAAATTTTCAACGAAGTGAGATTTGAACACCACAGCTGGGTGGAGGTACCTAGTCCGTTCGATATGGATGCCTTTGTTATTCGGCTATTTCTGGTTTTCCAATCACGTAATTTCCGAATCAAGGAAATTGAAGAAGTCAGTATGAAAGGAGACCAAGGACTAATTCAACAGTGTTGTAAGCATCTCCATGAAGATGATTGCCTTGTCGTTATAAATGGTCTCCAGTCCACGGAGCACTGGGACATGATAAAAGAAACCTTTTTATCCAAGTCAACAAAAGGCACTAGTATCATTGTCATTACAAAAGAAGAGAGTGTGGGTGCATATTGTGTAGATCGTCAAGTGAATCGAATGTGCTATATCAAAGAATTGGAAGCTGATGAGGTCCGTCGTCGCTTCTTGATGGTATGTAACATCTGCATGCTTTATTTGCTTTTTTACTCTAATCAGCTTAATAAATTGTCATCATCGCCTACGAGGGCAACTGCATGTGCTAATTGATTTATTATATCTATGTACCATGCAGTCACGGGGTGGAAGTGGACTCATGGAGGATTTTTGTGGGGCTAACCTTTTCTATGACCGATTAGCATTTGCACGTAGATGGCTACAGTCATTTCAGTTATTTCAGCCAGAGACTGAAGGGAAACATTGGGGTGACCTTCATAAACTATCAAGTAAAGCGGGCGTGGTTTCTGTATGTGGGCGTTCTGGTGTTCAGAAATCAACTGTCGTCGGATGCATTTACTACCATGAACTTCTGGCGTGTGAGGACCCACATATTATTCGTGGGCCATTGTCTGTGAGACATACAATCTTCAGCTTTGTTGACGTGCCCTGTCCATTCGATTTGACAGAGTTCTCTTGGCGCTTGCTACTGGATTCTTGCTCGAATGATCTTAAAGCGAAGGAAAATGTAGTAGTTGGTCTGATAAAAGGTACCCTAGACCCAATTCAAGCGTGTTGTGAGTTGCTTCTTCAGCACAAATGCTTGATCGTTATTGATGGTCTGCGGTCCAAACATGATTGGGACAAAATAAGAACCATCTTATCGCCCGTGTCGCCTGCTCATAGCAGTTGTATCATTGTTACTACAAATAAAAGAAGTGTTGCCATGCATTGTGTAGATGATGAGGAAGATCGGTTGCTCAAAGTCAAACGTCCTGAGGGTACCATGGCCGTTCCTCCCTTGTCAATGGTGTGTTTTCTTTCTCTACTCAATCATCATATTAATTATCAGTGATGTCTTCGTACTATCTACTTTTTCTTCTAGAATATCACATGTAAACAAAATAATCACCATGGGAGCTAGTAGCCTAATATATGTATATGTGTGTGCATATATACATTGTATCACTTCTGTTTTTTGGAACTATAGCAGCACTTTTTTTTCCCTAGATCTACTTGCTTGTGATTTCAGTTATACTCTTATAATGATCAAAGTGGAGGAGTGAATTTACTATCTTACCATCCTGGTCTATGTTTTATTTATTGCAATTACCAATACACGGTTATGCTATGAATTCAGATGCATGCTAGCAAGGTATTAATGAATTGCTACAGACTAAAAAACATCATACTGCAGTTTACATGACTAACCACTTTATTGAATTGAGGTAATGCTTACCACGTCCGTAGATTCAAGGTAGATCGAGGTCTTTTCACGGAAGAGATTTAAGTGTGTGCTAAGTGTCACATTACAATCTCCAATACATGGTAGCAACCCCAGGTGAAATGGGGCATCACCATAAACCAGTTTGTTTATAGGAGTAATGATAGTGATTAGGCTGTGCCTCCACTTGATGTAGATGCTAGGAGATCAACAAAAGTCTTCCTTTCAGCGAAAAAAAATCATTTATTAGAGTAAAGATACCATAAGACATGGTGTGCATCTGTGATCATGCATAGAACGATGTAACACCCAATTTTCCTTAGCAAACTACTGCATAAAATTGAGTGTTCAATTTGAAATTACCAGGAGGGAGCATGTGCTTCGTTACGACTATAATTTAACTTTAAGTATTATGCATAAGAATAGAAATGGTATATTATTTAAGAAATCGCAATAAAAATTTCGTATTGGCTAGTCTATATGCTTTTGCACATTTGGAATTTTGAAAATTGACTTCACGCATAACACTGCCCCTTGTTTATTTACTTTTTGGATGGAGAGAGCAGTATAATAAAAAGTAGTATATACTAGTTTGACGAATGAAAACTGATGCATGCAATGGTTGGTTTAACAATTATGTGCTACTCCATCTTATTTGCAGGGTCCCAGTAAGGGTAGCCCTTTGTTGCTCAAAAAAAAAAGTAAGGGTAGCCCTTTGCACCTTGTTGGGCTTGGGCAGGAGTTTCGGATCCTTGAAGGACTACTATATAAACAAGGTTACAGCGTAATTTCCTTGTGGGGAATTGCTGGTGTCGGGAAGTCAGCTATGGCAAGAAAAATTTATGATGGTCCTGATAATAGATTGTGCAACAAGCCTGCTAAGAAGAGCTGGGTGGACGTGCCTCATCCATTCCACCTGACAGAATTCTCACGGAACTTACTGTTAGGTTTTCATTCAGAGGATCTTCAAGCCAAAGAAACTGCAGCATTTGGTATCATGGAAGGCCATGACACGATTGAAGCATGCTGTCAGTTTCTTCAGGAAAATGAGTGCCTAGTTTTTATTGATGGTCTAAGATCCACACATGAATGGGACCAAATAAAAGCCGCCTTCTTATTCGAGCCTAGTGAAAATATTTTTGTTATAATTACAACTGAATCAAGTGTCGCCAGACATTGCGTATCTCACAAAAGTAGAATGCTCAATGTCAAGGGTCTAAACTCGCAGGATTCATTTCGCCTCTTCAGAAAGGTGTGTTCCGTTTTACTCACAAGCACATTAAATGCTTTACTTCCAGAGTTTTTTTAGCTAATTTCCTTTGGTATGTGTGGTAGATTTTTTCGATAAAGGGTGCTTTATTACTAAATAGATTTAAGCATTACGCACCACCTACCGATAACTGAGATGCGCACAGCCATAACCAAGTCCAAGTTCTAAATAAATCAAAAAAGGCGGAATACAATTAATCATGTGAAGACTGTACAACGCCTAAGACACAAGAGCGCCAATTTGAAGATCATGCTGCCATCCATGTCGGGTAAAAGTATCCCTAGCCATGGCCTCCAAGTGTGTACACACCTCCGTAATCAGGTTTCGATTCTCCACACGTTGTAGAGACAAACATAAACGGAGCGTACCTGTACATCTGTAAATAACCTAAATAAGAGTACTATTATCGTTAAAAACCTTATCATTTCTACATAGTCGGAGCGGTCAAATAATGTCAAGCACTCCCACCCCGAGAAGAATTATAGACATGTATTCTATCCCATGCAATCAGTTGTGGAATATATTTGCAACACTACGTGGAGGATACAAGTCATAACGTACTTGGATGACTAATCATATAGAACGAGCCAATTTGCATTGGAAAAACAAGTGTTTTATTGTTTTGTCGTTATGACAAAACACACATTGCGTACTTCAATGCCAATTTCTCTTAATAAGGTTATCCTCGGTAAGAATGACTCATCAACGAAAATACCATGCAAATATTATATTCTTAAGCGGTATTTTCAAGTTCCAAATCTTCTTATTATTATCAACTAGCACCTCTGACTAGATCCGAACACTATACATAGAGTTCACTGTGAATTTACCATTCACTTGTAGGCCGCAACGAAATTCATCGTCTCCTTGTGACAGTTGTACCGTGGATCGTCTCAGTAATAAAATGTTCCACGATTCAAGTCTAGGACCAATTCAATCTCTTATGAACGTCACATTCGGTGGAAAGGATTCCAGAACCGTGGAGATAGTACCACCCTTGTGACGCACAATATTGTATAGAGCCGGATATTGTTCTCCGAGTGTAGCATTGCCTAGCCATTTATCCTCCCAGAATCTAATTTTTGATCCGTCTTTAATAGCGAAGGACCCATAGCGGAAGAAGTATTTCTTTGTAGCCATTAGATCAGCCAAAAACTGTGAGCCCTCACGCTTCCAATGCCTTTGAGCCAACATATTTTCTCCTTAGGAGGGTTTGCCATACACCATTTTCCGTCAGCAGCTTAAACATCCATTTGCCGAGGAGGGCAATATTTTTAACCTCAAGGTCATGAATACCCAGTCCTCCTTGGTCTTTGGGACGGCAAACAACACTCCATTTAGCCAGTCGATATTTCTTTTTCTCACTATCTCATTGCCAAAAGAATTTTCATCGGAAATAATCCCATCTATGCAATAGTACTTTAGGCAGTTGGAAGAAGGAAATCATATATATAGTACCATATTACTTAGACTAAATTTTTTAGGACCAATCTTCTACTTAGAGATAGCAATCTTCCTTTCCAGCTGCTTAACCTTTTTTGTAGTCTCTACTCGACGTGTTTCCATTCAGCATTTTTAGAGTCTTCGATAATGTATCAGTATCCCCAAATAACTGATTGTAAACTGACCTAACCGGAAGCTGAACAATTCGGCGTACATGTGGGCCTCGTCTTGGGCCTCGCCAAAACAAAATAATTCACTTTTATGGAAGTTTATTTAAAACCTGAGAGGTGCTCAAATGCTGATAAATATTAATTTCAGATTCCTCGCTTTCTCTAGGTCATGATCCATAAAAAGAATCGTATCGTCGGCATATTGAAGGATAGAAAGTCCACCATCAACAAGATGATTAACTAGCCCATCAATTTGACCCTACACCTTTGCACGCTCAATCATGACAGCTAACAGATCAGCCACTATATTAAATAGCATTGTGATAATTAGCCACGTTGTCTCAATCCTTTCTTCATTTGGAAGTAGCGACCAACGTCGTCATTGACTTTAATGGTCACACTACCTCCGGAAACGAAGCTATCGATCAGAGCGTGCCACTCCATAGAGAAGCTGTTCATTCTGATAGTCCGTTGAAGAAAATACCACTTGACTTTATCATAAGCTTTCTCAAAATAAATATTGAACCATTCAACTTCTTCCGATGTAGTTCATGAACCATTTCATGAAGGGTTACCACCCCATCTAGGATGTTTCTACCATGCATGAAAGCGGTCTGGGAAGGGCGAACCACATGGTCGGCCACTGAGTTTAGCTTAATTGTTGCAATTTTCGTGAAGATTTAAAACTAACATTAAGGAGGTCTATACTGTTGTATCCTTACCACCTCATTAAGCTTAGGTAATAAAATTATCTCACCAAAATTTAGGCGAAACAATACCAGTTGTCCGGCATCGAGGTGACCAAAAAAGTCTAGAAGGTCCATTTTGATAACCTCCCAGAAGTTCTGATAGAACTCAGCTGAAAAACCATCCGGACTCAGGACCTTGTTGTGTTCCATTAGGAAAACTGCCTTCTTTATGTCCTCCTGGGAATAAGGAGCTGTTATAAGGTTATTTTCCTCAATGAAAATCTGGGGAATATTATCTATTCGGGACTCATCCATCGAGAAGTTACCCTCGACCCCCAAACAAATTTTTATAATAATTAGTAATATATGGTTTAAGTTGCTCATGACATTCAATCGCACCCTCCTCATGTATAAGAGAATGAATAAGTTTCTTCCGGTATCTGCCATTGGCCACTCCATGGAATTATCTAGTATTTGAATATCCTTTTATAATAAATTCAGAGTTTCAATGTTGGTACCATTGGAGCTCCTCTTCTCTCTGAAGTCGAGGTATCTGTGCATTTGATTGACTCTTTGATCTTAGTTTAATGTTCAGATAGCAGTCGAACCTCTGCCAGAGCTTCTAAATTGTCAATAATAGACGTTAGACGAATCATCTATTTTTTGAGGATATGCGCAGTGTGCCTAGCCCAGCTACCAAGGAATTTACGTATTGCATGTATTTTATTATTCCATTCATGTATTGGAGTAAGCCCGGCAATAGGTTCCACCCACATCTCCTTGACCATATCATGAAAGTCATCACGGAGCAGCCAACCAAGTTCGAATTTGAACTTGCGTCTACTCTGTGGTCGTGGCAAACCAATGGTTAGAAGGATAGGAGCATGGTCTGATAGCGCCTCGACACGAGGTAATGTACACATACATAAACCATAGGTAATTTAGATTCCCACTCGGTATCCATTAACACGCGATCTAATTTCTCGTATGTTGGTTCAGGAAGACTATTCGCCCAAGTGAACTGTCTTTCAATCATGGAAACCTCTCGTAAATCAAGGCTGCCAATAACAGCGTTGAACAGGAAAAACCAATGATTATCAAACCTACCATAACTTTTCTCGTTTGGAAATCTTAGAAAGTTAAAATCACCACCTATCAGAATAAGATAGGGGTTATTTTTCACCAGATTAACCAGCTCACGAAGAAAGTTAGCCTTGAATTCATCCTGGGCTACACCATACATGGCGACAAGTGTCCATGTGAAGTTGTCGGCTTTGTTGCGGATATGGAGTTTAATAGGATACTCACCATCTGAACTAGCCAACACTTCCATAGAATTCTTGTATTGACGCCAAGTAATATGCCCGCAGAATGACCCCTAGGCTGACATGAAATCCAAGTAAAGTCTATGCCGCAAGAAAGACGGTTAAGAAGACTTACCAAGAAATCACATCTACCCTTCTCCGAGATAGCCAAAAAAATCTAGATTATGCTCCCTATTACAATCCGCAATGAATAAATATTTAGCCAAGTCACCAAGATCTCTGCTATTATAGAACATGCCATTCATTAGGAAACAATGGGAAATTTATACATTTTGGCCTTCTTAGATGACTTTTGACCCTGTTTCGAACGGGAGGCTTTAGATTTACATCCGGATGTTGTAAGTTCTTCCAATGAACAAAGCCCAGATTCATCCAAGCCCATGTACTTAACCTCTCCAACTATATGAGCTGGGAGCTGACCATCTATTGTGACATGCAGCCCCTCGCGTCTAGATGAAAGGGACATGTTTGCTGGAAACCAATGGACTAATGTTTAATCAGTCATATTCTGTATGTCCCAAAGCATTAGTCGGAATGGAAATTTCCTTCTCATTACTACCTAGACTAACACCAACATTATTTAAGTTTAAAGGAATTGTAATAGAAGAGAAAGATAAAAAAGATTTGGATGACGAGATTATACCCACATCATTGAGGTTATGCACCGCTTTACGACGCATTGCATTGCCCAATGAATCCTCATGCGTGTCCATCCACCCATCCTCTGCAACCTTTTGCCGGCTACTACGACAAGATGGAGTCATCTCCATAGATGCACGCCGCATGTGCTTAGCTACCGGCGGAGGGGATAAAGTTGGTGTAGAAACCCCCTCCCCAACAGCCCTAGACGAAGTCGTGCGTGAAGAAGAATACGCTATTGTCGGTGTAGAAGGGGCCTCAAACGTCGAGCATGCCGATGTAGTCACCGTGGGGTCTGCTATGTCCATGGTCGGTGTGGGGGCCACCATGGTCGCCGTGAGGTTAGCCACAGCAGGCACCACCTGCACCAGCACAACAGGCGAAGGGACAAGGGCGGGAGGCCGACCCAACGCCGGTCCAGCCGGGCTGGTCTTCACATGTAGTAGCCCATCAAGAGGTAGTGCACCCGACTGCGCTAGGCCGCCTGCCAACGCACCATTTGCAACGTGCGACGACCCTGTACCAGCAGACGAAGACAACAACATTGAAGGTGTTGTCGCAATAGCCGGCGATGAGTGTGTCTCCTGAAGCATCAACTTCGGTGATCGTTTGAGGCATCCTCGTAACACGGAATTAGCACAAAGATCCGATGCCAGCTGAGTACCTCTTGGGGTATGCGGTGTAGAATTAAAAGGAGTGACCGCCAAGACCAAAGGGTCAACACTCAACGCACTCGGAGAGTCAATGCCCGCAAGCCCACGTCGTTGCACTTGTGACATGTGAACATCCTTAGTAGGAGCCAAACTAGATGGTTGCAGGTTGGAGGAGAGAGTAGTATGCTCGGAAGTATCCATCTCATCCTCCTTCTCCTTCCCAGTGCTATCATCATCCGCATCATCACTCTTTCGCTTCCAAATAAACGGGACAAAATTCGGGTCTGGTATGTAGTCTGTCAGTTCCCTCCTGAACGTGAAAACATAGCCCTTGAGCTTAACCACCACATCCGTGGAAATGAAATGTCCAACATCATCTTCGTCCTTCGATAAAATCTGAGTGTTAGTCATGGCTACCAGGATACAGACCACAACACGACGCCTCAGGTTGATGAGATCAACATCCAAGGTCTTGCCCATTAAAGAGCCAACTGCCCAGAGACCCCAAAAGTGACGAACCGTGTGAGCAACATCCTCAACATGAAGCCAAACCTGCTTGAGTTCCAACTTATGTGGAATCTCCTGAGACTTCCATGCAGAAATAGTGATCAGAGCATTAACTGATCGCACATTCATCTGATATACCGTCAATGTCTAAATCCTAAGAAGAGGGAAAGCATCCTCCCGATGATATATGGCCTCCCACTTCCACTGAGTCTGAACCAGGCATCTCCTCGCAATCTGGCTCAATAATGTTTGCAGGCACCATCAAACCGCTAACTCGAACACAAGCGATAGGAGTCTGAGAAGGTGCCATGTGTTCCTTCACAACGCAATCAAGTAATTGAGCAAAATAAGTGTCTTCAGCACCGACTCGTGAAATAAAAGCATTGGGCCTAGGGAGCTTAAGAATGGGACAACACAGCGTCGGATATGCAATCTTATATATATGTACATAAATTACTTAAACTGACAGCTTCGAGTTGTTACCCAAAGGAGCACAGTGAATGTAAACATTTGAGGCCCCCCTCTTTCCTCTCCCGTGACCGCGTCGCCCCCGCGGGCGGCTGGTCGCGTCCAGCCTCCTCCCCCGCGCAACTCTCCCTCCCCCTTCCTCCCTGCCGCCGTCGCCAGCGCCCGCTGCGGGCCTGGCCCGGGCGACGCTGGTGGCGGCCGCCCCCTGCCTTTCCCCTCTCGGGTGTCCACCGGCGCGGGACGGGGCGACCCCGGGTGGTGCTTCTCGGTGGCGACGGTCCAGCGCGGCGGCGGGGGTTCCTGGCGCGAGCGGGGGCGGGCTTCTGGTCGGCGGCGTTGCCGTTGGCGGCAGGGCGACGCGGCGGCGCGGTCTGGCGGCGCCCGCTCGGCCCAGATCTGGGCCCTTCGGGCCCATCTGGGCCTGGGCGGGCTGGCGGCTGGGTGGGTCTGCTTCGTGGCTTCCGGGAGGCGGGGGAGCGGCGATGAGCGGCAGGGTGCTGGCGGCGTCATCGCCGGCTTGCTGCAGCGTGGCGGCGGGGCTTAGCGGGCCCGTTTCGGGCCTGGCCGGGCCAGGGGTGCCCTGGCATGCCCTGCTGCCGCGTCCGGATGGCTACCGCGACGGTGCCGGAGGCTCTATCCTCCCGCACGACGGCGGTGGAGGTGGTTCCCTCCCGTTCGGCTTCGGTGCTGCTTCTCCCTCCGCGGGGCGCTTCTCTCCGGTCCTCTTGGCCTCGTGTGGGTGTTCGCAGTGAGGCGGCATGGGTGGCGGCGCAACCGCGATGGCACATGGTGGTGGGCGGCGGTTTGGCTGATCGGCTCCGGTCCGTTGGGCGGTGGGGATTGGAGTACATGAGAAATCTTTGCCGGTCTTCGGCTCCGATGCGGTGACACCTACGGGTGCCACCATTCCTTCCTGAAGGGTGTCGGTGATATCCATCCCCCACCTCCCTCCGCGTGTCGGGGAAACACTAGGACATGTCCGGGCAGCAGCGTCGTTGGCGTCGCTTTCCTTCTTGGAGGTGTTGTTTTGTTCGCGGTGGCTCGGAGCCTCGGGTTGTAGTGGTTTGTCTCTGGTGGGCGTAGCGGTGGCGGGTCATCCGCGCTTGTCGAGCTGCCGTTGTTGGCATTTGCTTCTTCTTCTTTTTCATTTTGGCTTGTTGTGTTGTTCGCCCCAGCAATCCTGTATCGGTGTTGTTTGCTTTGGAATACAAAGCGGGGGGAAACCCTTTTTCGGTAGTTGTTACCCAAATGCAGATCGGCATCTATATGCACAAGTCTAATTCACTTGGGTTACAAATGCATAGCATGCTATGAACATCAACATATGCTCTAGAAAAAACATCGATATAGACATTGGTAGGATCTACTGTAAACCATGCCCGCACGGATGTACACCGGAGTATTTATTATTATTCTTTGCAAAATTTTGTGCCATCTTTTACACCTAATATCGGGGTTTTCTTGTAAAATCCAGTGTAAAGTGTCACAAAAACGAAAAAATATATTAAGATGATCTTAAACCTGTAGCTTGAATAGTGATCTTAATGCCAATATCGTTGAAGTCAGACTGTCAATTTGTGCATACACAAAGTCAAACTGTTTTGTATTTTGAGGACCATGTCGATGTTCAGAAAACATGTTTATAGAACTAGAGAGTATTTTTTTTAGTAGATGTCAATTGTCATTATGGCAATTGGTTAAGTGCGTCTAGTCTCAACCTCGAATTTGAATTTTCTTTGAAACTCCTTATCACACACTCCTGTTACGGTCAATTTCCATTTGTGAATCAAAATTTCAATTAAGTCGGTATTGGATTGATCATATACACATTACATTCCGTACTTAAATGTATTCATTCGAAATTGATTCCAGATCTAATGCCAACCCGTCTTGAAACTGATTTTGGTGATGAATCCAACATAAATCCCGAAGTAAATTCTGGGAGCATTTAAGTTAGGATCGGTTCTAAATTAAATTTGTATGTAATTCGAGATTTCTGAATTTTAGATTGCATGGGGCGGTTTGAAACGATCAATTCCGGAGGAGATGAAGTTTTCAGAAATTACTGTGGCCAAGTGTGGCGGACTTCCCAAAGTAATAACTGCTATAGGTGAATTCATCACCAAAAGAAAGCCTGACGGAGTACTTACAGAATCGATCTTGGAAGGTATATCCAGGGATATAAATGGTGACTTTATGGGCAATTTGCAGACTAGGCCAGAATTTCATAGCTTAAGGGGTCTGTTTAGTTGGATGCAGTCCTACTTTGATGCATGCTCAGATTCACTCAAGCCATGTATCTTCTATATCTCAGTCTTTCCTAAAGGTCACCAGACCATTAGGCGAAGACGTCTGGTGAGGCGGTGGATCGCCGAGGGTTACTCCAGGGACACATTTGGCTCTAGAGACAAATCAGGCTATGCAACTGGTACCGCCGAAGAGAACGGAGAAAGAATGTTTGCTGAACTCGTCGAATTAAGCATAGTCCAGCAGCAGCAGACACCAGGCAGCAAGATAATGTTCCAAGTCAATGGTTTCTTCCATGAATACATCATCTCACAGCCAATGGAAGACAACCTTGTGTTTGCACTGGAAGGCCGTTGCAGTGTGAACTCGCAACGCGCTGGACAACACCTTACAATAAGTAGCAGTTGGGACAGAGACAAGAATGTATTCCGGAGCATGGACTTCTCACGGTTAAGGTCTTTGACAGTATTTGGTGAGTGGATGTCATTCTTCATGTGTAAGGATATCAATATGGGGCTGCTTCGGGTGCTGGATCTGGAGGACACGTCAGGTGTAACAAATGATGACCTTGAGCAGGTTGGGATGCTACTACCTCGTCTCAAGTTTTTTTCCATACGAGGATGCAAAGATATAACTCGTTTACCAAACTCATTGGGTAAACTGAGACTGCTGGAGACCCTGGATGTCAGGAACACCTCTATAGTCAAGCTGCCACCAACTATAATCAAATTACACAAGCTGCAGTACATTCGTGCAGGGATGCTAGACACTGCTCATGAACCATTGGCTGGGGAAGGGGTCCACCCAGGCCTATCAGCAGTAGATGAGGTGGACCAAGGCCTTCCAGCAGCAGATGAGGATGACTATATGTCAACATCATCAGTAGACAGTTCAACATCAACCGAAGACAACAATGGCGCCACAACATCAGCAGCGGGCGCTGATGGCACATGCGCAAGCCTACTAGAAACAGTAGCAATACCACTAGCAGAAGGTGAAGACACAAGCACAACCCAACCAGCAGCAAACAGTGATGAGACAAGCACAGGCCAACCAGAAGAAGCAGTAGCAGCAGACGGTAATGGCGCGAGGCAAGGCGAGGCAGTAGCAGGGGGTGAGGAGTGGACACCAGCGCAATGGAGAAGCAGGGCACGCCACTTGGTATCATCCTATTCCCTCGGCTGGTTGTGGTTGTCCAAGAAGAAGAAGAATGGAGGCGGTGTTGAGGTTCCTGCTGCAGGTATGGGGAACCTGACAGCCTTACATACTCTTGGTGTTGTGAAAATCAGCGGTAAAGGTGGGAAGGCCATCCTCGAGGAGGTGAAGAAGCTTACCCAGTTGCGCAAGCTCGGAGTGTCAGGCATCAACCGCAAAAGCTGGCTTGACTTGTGTTCAACCATCTCAGATCTTGGCTATCTCGAGTCCTTGTCAGTGTGTCTTGACTCTGCAGCAAGTCTATGTTCTTGTTCAGGTGAGATTTTCTCCAGCTTACCTAAGACCCTAAAGAGCCTTAAGCTGTACGCTAATGATGGGAAAGCACAGCTATCGCCAGTCTTGACCGAGCAGCTGGTATCCAAGCTTAGCAATCTTAAAAAGGTTAATCTTGAGTTAACAATATCAACGCAAGAGGAGATAGACAGCCTTATGGATTACATATGTAAGAATTTAGTTCGCCATCTTTGTGTGAAACCGATTCAAGACGGCGAGCTCCGTTATGGTCGGTGGGAGAATGGCTGGAGTGGTGGACCAGTCATAGCCCCATTCCTCAGGTTTGACTGCGGCAGCTACAATTTGGCGATAGTTTTTGGAAACTGGATACCGCAATTTGTTGAAGTGCTGGTGTTCCAGTGCTCTTCCGCAGAGTCAAGGTTGAAAGTCTCTGGGCTAGAGAAACTAGAGAATCTCAAGGAAGTCTGGCTCAAGGGTTCCCACAGCGATGCTTTCAAGCAACAGTTACAGCAGGAAGTTGCCCAGCATGGGAACAAACCGATCCTGAACCTGGAGGGTCAACCACCTTCATCCTGATTCGTTTCTTTATGTTTTCAACACTGAAATACATGAAAAAAGATGGTGAGAAGCTGGAGAACAACCGTGCTGGTTCCTTTCCTTTCTTTATGTACTCAACACTGAAATAAATGCTTCGTGTTGCCTCTTCCCCCTAAACGTTTCTAATAAATAAATAGAGTATATCTGTGTACGTATATATGTGCATACCCTGTATATCTTTCTGCGTTGCATTGCAGGCAGCTAGAACATGACCAGGATCTCCACTCATTTGTTCGCGCACAGTATTTTGTCTGATTGGTTGCCGAAATCAAACCATGGGATTGTTCACCAGAATAAAATATAAATTCTTGGCTCGCTGATTTCAGGCAGCATGCTAGTGTGCTACCACTAGTGGAGGATCGGCCAATAGCCCCGGTTCGTAAGGGCCTTTAATCCTGGTTCAACAACCGCGACTATTAGGTCGGGGTTCGTCACAACCCGGGATTAATGGCCATCCACGTGGCTGGGAGCGCGCGCTGGGTGCCGGGACCTTTAGTCCCGGTTGGTGACACCAACCTGAACTAAAGGGTTTGGGGTTTATTGTTTATTTTTGTTTTTCATTTTATGTTTTCTATTTTTTTTCATTTCAAACATATTTTACGGTACTACATACTGTACACGTTATACATATATCATAGAATTTTTCGTAGGACCAATCATATATCATAGAATTTCTCAATAGGAATACACACACATATATACAATTTCTCCTACGGCTTGTAGATCATTACATGCAGGCATTTGGTGAAATGGTATTCTACGCCTGGAGCTATGAACTGCTCAAGCAAAAATCCCGTCATTTCCTCTTGAAGTGCTCGTATCCGGTCATTTTGCATGAGAGGAGCGTGCTTCTCCGATGTTTTTAAAGAGGGAAATCAATATGAATATATTAGTTTTGTGTGTATATATTAGATCATTATAAAAAATTGTGCATAGTGTCTACTTACATCAAGACTTGTTTGATCTCTGCCCCGCGCCCTTTCGATCATAAAGCGAATGTTCTGGCAAACAATGTATGCACATATATTAGGCGCCCGTTCCTGCTGCAAGCACAACTGTACGAGAATAGAATTCAGTCAGGTAATAATCACCTCGAGCCGTTTCCATATCAGCTCCTTTTTCCAACCGCCGGTAATCTCGTTCCTGAACCATGTCCAAACCCTTCCCAGCAAAGAAAAAGAATAAAGGAGTCATTGATTACTTGATATCAGGAAATGAACTAAATATGCCGACATAGTGCGATAATGATTGAAATTACCTGTCAAGCATCAACTTCAGGTCCCTGTACTCTTCAGGGGCTTTAGTTAGTGAGTCCGGTACCTCAACTTTTCCATCGTCAACTTTGATGATTAGGAGGATCCAGTGGAAGTTGCGTTGTATAAGCGGGCATGCATTACTCATCATGTACTACACTTAACATCCAGTAAGAAAAATAGAATTTATAGTACAAGGCAGTAACACTCATCTGTAGTTGTAAGGAAATACTATTTCTGGTTGGGTATTGAGTGCCTTCAAAAACGTATACAAGTTCTCCTTTGTTTCATCTTTGTGATATATTATCAATTTTTTATTAATGGTATTTGGGCCAATGAACCCAATGCCAAAGAGTCCATCTCTCTTCATTTCAAACATCTTCATTCTGCATAACACCAAACAAAATAATATGAGACAAAGAATTTTTACGTCAAGCTACCTATTCTGCACAACTCTAATTTTTCTGATAGGAGAATTCTGGCAGCTGGAAATCTGGACCTGAAAAAGCTATGTCAAGTTACCTATTCTGCACAACTTGAAATAAGCTGAAACTTCACGACGAATTTTTACTGAATATATAAAAAAGACCGAAGCAAAGAGGTACCTGAGGGGGCCACTAGGTGGGCACCAGCCACCTGGGCGCGCCACTTCCGGTGCCCCCTTCTGGTATATATTTAGTTTTTACCTAAAAAATTAAGGATAGGACTTTCGGGATGAAGCACGGCCGTCTTGAGGTGGAACTTGAGCAGGAGCACTTTTTCCCTCCGGCGGAGCGATTGCGCCAGAGGAACTTCCCTCACAGAGGGGGAAATCATCGTCATCATCATCACCAACAACCCTCTCATCTTGGGGAGGCCAATCTTTAACAACATCTTCAACAACACCATCTCCTCTCAAACCATAGTTCATCTCTGGTGTTCAATCTTTGCACTGGAACATTAGATTGTTGCTTGTGAAGGGCTAGTAGTGTCGATTACATCTTGTACTTGATTACTATAGTGTTTATTTGGTGGAAGACAAAATGTTCAGATCCTTTATGCCAATTATTACTCCTCTGATCTTGAGCATGATTACCATTTGTAAGTAGTTACTTTAGTTCTTGAGGCCACGTGAGAAATCACGTTGCAAGTAATCATGTGAAGTTGATGTGTGTTCAATATTTTGGTGGTATGTATGTTGTGATTCTCTTAGTGGTGTCACGTGCACGTTGACTACATGGCACTTCACCATATTTGGGCCTAAGGGAATGCATTGTGGAGTAGTTATTAGATGATGCGTTGCTAGAGTGACAGAAGCTTAAACCCTAGTTTATGAGCTACTTCCTAAGGGAACGATTTGGATCCAAAAGTTTAATGATATGGTTAGATGTATGTCTTAATACTTTTCTCATAGTTGTGGATGCTTGCGAGGGGGTTAATCATAAGTAGGAGGTTTGTTCAAGTAAGAAAATCACCTAAGCACCGGTCCACCCACATATCAAATTATCATACCATCGAACACGAATCAAGGTAGCATGGTGAAAGTGACTAGATGAAATTCTCGTGTGACCTCAAGAACACTTTGCCCATTATAAGAAACCACTTTGGCTTGTCCTTTGCCATAAAAGAATTGGGCTACCTTGCTGCACTTATTGTTTCTCTTGCTACTTGTTACTTGTTACAACTATCTTGCTATCAAACATCTTGTTACCGCTATTTCAGTGCTTGCATAAATTACCTGGCTGAAAACCACTTTTCATTTACTTCTCGCTAGGTTCGACACTCTTACTTATTGAAAGGACTATGATTGATCCCCTATACTTGTGGGTCATCAAGACTCTTTTCTGGTGTCGTTATCGGGGAGTGAAGCGCTCTTGGTAAGTGGAAACTGGTAAGGAAAATTTATTGCTACGTGCTGAAATTTATTGTCACTTGCTAGTATAGAAAACAATCGTTTGAGTGGTTTGTTCGGGTTATTTTCAGCTCGACCGGAACCATAATTAGTTGCCCCTCAACCTACAAAACCTACTGAAAAAATTGGCTATGAAATCCCTTTTGGTATGATAGAACAACTGCTAGCTAATCCTTATGCAGGAGATGGAACTAAACATCCTGATATACACTTGATATATATGTGGATGAAATTTGTGGATTATTTAAGCTTGCAGGTTTACCCCGGAGATGATGTTAAGAGGAAGGTCTTCCCCTTATCTTTGAAGGGAGAAGCATTGGTATGGTATAGGCTATGCCATGATATTGGATCTTGGAGCTGGAATCGATTGAATTGGAATTTCACCAAGAGTTTTATCCTATGCATCTAGTTTCATCATGATTGGAATTATATATATAATTTTTGGCCTCGTGAAGGAGAAAGTACCTCTCTAGCTTGGGGGAGGCTTAAGTCAATGTTATATTCATGCATAAATCATGAGCTCTTAAGAGAAATTATTATTCAAAATATTTATGCTCAGATTTCTCGTAACGATCAAACCATGTTGGACACTTCATGTACTATTTCTTTTATGAAGAAGACTATTGAATTCAGGTGGGACCACTAGTAGAAAAGGGGCCAATGGTCCAGGCCGGTCCAGCCCATTAGTCCCGGTTCAATCCAGAACCGGGACCAATGGGGGCATTGGACCCGGTTCGTGAGCCCCAGGGGTCGGCCGGGCCACGTGAGCCATTGGTCCCGGTTGGTCTGGACCTATTGGTCCCGGTTTGTGGGACGAACCGAGACCAATGGTCCCCACCACTATTGGTCCCGGTTGATGGCCTGAACCGAGACTAAAGGGTTGGTCCTCGTTGCGGCCAAAGTTTAGTCCCACCTCGCCAACCGAAGGGGAATCAGACCAGTTTATAAGCCCCTCCCTCTCTGCCTTATTGAGCTCCTCTGAAAATGAAAATAGATGCCCTTATATAGGGAATTTAGGCTAAATTCATACGAATTTCTCTTGAAATTTGGTATGAATTCAATTTGAATTTCCTCTATAAGCGCATCTATGCTCATTTCTGAGTAGTTTTTTATATTTTTTTTCTTTTCTGCTATATTTATTGTTTTCTTTTTATTTCTGAGTTGTAATAAGTCATTAAAAATAAGCATCTATGCTCATTTTTAGTAAAGTTAATCACAACTATTTTTTCTTCTATTTATTTTTGAATTGCAATAAGTCATTAAAAATAAGCATCTATGCTCATATTTTAGTAAAGTTAATCACAACTATTTTTTCTTCTTTTTATTTCTGAGTTGTAATAAGTCATTAAAAATAAGCATCTATGCTCCTTTTTTAGTACAGTTAATCACAACTATTTTTTGCTTCAATTCATTTCTGAGTAGTTTTCTATACAATTTTTTTCTTTTCTGCTATATTTATTTTTTTCTTTTTATTTCTGAGTTGTAATAAGTCATTAAAAATAAGCATCTATGCTCATTTTTTAGTAAAGTTAATCATAACTATTTTTTCTTCTATTTATTTTTGAATTGTAATAAGTCATTAAAAATAAGCATCTATGCTCATATTTTAGTAAAGTTAATCACAACTATTTTTTCTTCTTTTTATTTCTGAGTTGTAATAAGTCATTAAAAATAAGCATCTATGCTCCTTTTTTAGTACAGTTAATCACAACTATTTTTTGCTTCAATTCATTTCTGAGTAGTTTTCTATATAGTTTTTTTTTCTTTTCTGCTATATTTATTTTTTTCTTTTTATTTCTGAGTTGTAATAAGTCATTAAAAATAAAAAAGAGGCG